CCAGAAAACCAACCAAGCTCAGAGAGCACCAAGGACCTCACAGTCCTTCCTCCTTTCCTCCTCCTCCTCCTCCTCCTCCTCCTCCTCCCCTTCTCCTTCTCCACTTCCTCTTCTCAGAAAATCCAATTCCCTTCCAGCACTGATGATGTTACCTAGTTGGGTCATGAAACGTCTGCCAGAAAACCACCCAGCTCAGTTAGTACCAAGGATGCAAATACACACCATGGAAATTTGGCAGCTCTTTCCCAATTCCACCCCTCCCTCCCTGCCTCCCTTAGCACGGATCCCTTCCTCTAATGGGACTCTACCACCTTGCTCTTCTTCTCATTCCTCCCCCACCCCAAATATTTTGTGTTTTTTTAATGATGCATTTTGTTTTTTAACATTGTTTTTTCCTTAAAGGGCTGCCAAATTTGGGGAATGAAAGCAAACTCACCAAGTTTCTCTTTCGCAGTACAGTTTGTTCTTTTCTAAACTGTTTCCCCCACCCCCACCCCCCGCTGGCATGCACAAAGGCACACACCGATGCACTCACACACTCTCAGACACACAAGCACACACACACTTTCTTTGGCAAGCGACAATGGTCCTTTTTAATGGAAGCTTAAGGTGGATAATCCTCCTTTTGGGGCTGCAGGGTAAGTGTGTTATTTTGCTCCTGGCTTCTTTTTATTGATTTTCTATTAATTCTGCTTGATCAATCCGATGAAACACATTTTTTCTCCCCTTCCTTTCATTGAAAGGGTTTTTATTTCTGGGGGGGGGGGAACTTCTTGTGCCTTTTGTGGTGGGCTGGTTGCCCCGGGCAACGAAAGGACTTTGAAAGTCCCTGTGTACAGTAAATAGGCTATTTGAATTAAGGGAAACCGAGGCAGGGAAAAGTTTTAGGAAAAGTCTCACAAACGGCACAGCCTAAAATATCTACGGAGATTCTCCGTCCTTCAGGTCCTGGTTGTCCCAAAGGTGCATTTTCAAGAGGCAACTGGACTTCTTGTTCTTTTTTCCTTGAAAACCTTTCGCTTCTCATCCAAGAAGCTTCTTCAGTTCACCGCACATCCTAAACAACTGTGGAGAGTCGAAGGAGGACACAATTTGAAATCTAAATCAAGCATGAATGTGTGGCAGAAGTCACGTTTTCGAGCTGGCTTGTCTTCCAAGAAAATCATGAGAACCAGATCTTTGTGATAAGAGTCCCAGTTCTCTAGGAGAAAGGTTGGCTTGGCTGTGGGACTCACTCGTAATTGTGGAAAATAAGGAATACTTTAACTAAATTAGGGGACTGGAGNCAAGGCGGGATGGAGAACTGCATGGACGGCATGAAGGCGGACAACTCCAGCCAACGGATGTAGAGTTCCCGATCCGGGATTTCCAAAGCCCCGTCTGTTTTACCTGGGATAAAATTCCCACCGATCATATCTGGTAGGATGAAATGGTATCCCAGAAGACCAATGCTTAGAACTGTGGGAATTATGGATTTTAACCCAAGCTCGTATCCCCAGATTGAATCCCGGTCAATAATACGGACAAAACACGGGATATGTTGCGTCTGGTACCCCACACGAACCTCTGCAAGTTCATAAAAAGGGCTGGCCATTTCTGCGTAATACCTGGACCAAGTGCTTGGATCCAGAAGAGGCTGGAAGGTGGTGAACTCTTTGGGAAGGTAGCACGTCTCTCCGGCATCAAACTTGAAGGAGGATATGCCATATTTTAAGCCAAGTTCCTTTAAGTGAGCGTGAAACCAATCTCGGGTGGCAGGGTTGGTGAAATCCAAGATGGCGCCAATTCCATTCCACCACTTCACCATGGCGGGAGACCCCTCGTTTCGTTGCGTGACAAAGAAACGTTTCTCGATTCCTTCCTTAAAGTTGGGTGATTTCTCGTGGACAAAGGGGTGGACCCAAACTGTAACGTTGAACCCGCCTTTCTTAAGATTTTCAAACATTTCTGCTGCCCGAGGGAACTTCAAGATGTCGAAGTCGAAGTCTCCGTAACTCTGCGTGTACATGTCGTCGATTTCAATATGGCTGGCTTTAAATCCGTGCTTCAGGATCATTTGGGCGAATTCCTGAACTTTCTTTTGATCAATCTCCTTTTTGTAGAGGGCCCAAGTGGACCAGACTGGAAACCTGAACATCTGTTCTGACGGAACCTTCAAAGGTCTCCTGAAATAATTCTGGGACATGTATTTGTGGGTGGAAGCCATGTCAGGAGACGCGCAGACATGGTAACATAACCTTGGAAAAGCTTGATTCTCCAGCAAAGAACCATATGGAGAATCTGTATACTTGGCTTGGAAAACAAGAGAGGGTTCCGTGGCGTTGAAGCCGAGGTGGAAAGGAACCGAGTCATCAATCTTGAAAGCTACCGCTTTGGAGGACAACCAATATCTCTCCAGGACACCCCCGAAACTCTTCCGAAAAGAGTAGACATCGCTGGTCACGTAAGGCATGGGTTCCTGGTCTCCTGGCAGCTGGAATGGCCAATGCTGGACACTCATCTCATAGCCTCCATACCAGGAGGCATCTCCCAAGAACATTTTGTGCTCCACCACCGTCTCTGCTAGAAACTCTTCCCAGGTGATGGAGTAGCAGCTCAGGGTCCTCCTTGGTTTAATTGCTCTGATCACGAAACGGATTTTCCTTCTATCTGTCCTAGAACAAGTCAACACGTCTGTTCCCTGGAAGCAGGACTCCAGGTCAAGGACGCCAGATTGGAAGGTCAACCTGAAGATGACGTCTCCATCCCGGTTCTTGAGGGCCAACCCGCCCTTTCGTAACTCCAACATTTCCATCTTCATTCCGTCTGTCGTCTGGAAAAGAGCGACATAGGAACACCCAAGTGCTACCACTATCAGAAGCAAGCCCACTATGAGTAAGGGACACGCCACGCGATGAGACGGTGAGGGTGCTGGAGGCATCTGCCTGGCTTCCTGCTCCTTCTCCAGATGTTCTCCTTTCCCTCGGCGATGGGAGGGCTGGGTCTTCATTTCGGTAGAACCAGGAGCTCAATCTGGATTTTGCCCTTGAGAGGAAAAGAAAAACACGAAATTCTGTCTTTGGTTTTTGCTGATTAGATAAGTTTGTTGTTACAGGTACGGCTAGTCCACATTAAGCACCTAAAGCAGGGGTGTCAAACTTAAGGCCCGCGGGCCGGATCTGGGGAAGATATGAAGCATTCACTGTTCTAAAGGTAGTCCTCAGCATCCAACCATAATTGAGTCCAGGGTTTCTGTTGCTAAGTGAGACAGTCGTTAAGTGAAATCTGCCCCATTTTACAACCAATCTTACCACTGCCGTTATGCGAATCGCTGCAGTTCTTAAGTTAGTCAACCGGTTGTTAAGGGAATCACGTTTCCTCATTCAATTTGTGGGTCAGAAGGTCGCAAAAAGGGATCACGTGACCCCTGGGGCACTGCGACCGTCGTAAACACGAGACCTTTGCCAAGCCTCTGAATTTTGATCATGTGACCGCGGGGAAGCTGCAGTGGTCGTAAATGTGAACAATGATCACAAGCGATTTTTTTTCCACTGCCGTTGTAACTTAAAATGGTGACTAAATGAGTGGTCGTAATTCAAGGACTGCCTGTATCAAGGACCTACAAGTAAAAAGTTGTCACAGTTTTATTCGACTGCACTATAAAAACAGTCGGAAGTCAATGCTGTTCTTTCTTTTTCTCCCTTCTCTCTCCCTCCCTCTCTCCCTCTCTCTCGCTCTCTCCCCTTATCCCTTCCTCATTTCCCCCCCTTTCATTTCAATTTTATACAGGCAGTCCTCGACTTACGACAGCTCATTTAGCGACCGTTCTAAGCTACAGCAACACTGGAAAAAAAGGTGACCCAAGACCAGTTTCCACACTTAACGACCATTGTAAGCATCCCCAGGGCCACGTCATCCACATCCAGACACTTGTCAACTGACTCGTATTTATGACGGTTGCAGCATCCCCTTTTGCGACCTTCTGGCCAGCCACGTCAACAGCGGAAGCCGGATTCGCTTAACGACCGTGTGACTAATTTAAGAACGGCAGTGATTCGCTCCACAGATGCGGTGGGAAAAGTCGCGAAACCCACTCAACACATTTCTCCTCTTGCGACGTAAATTCGGGGCTCGCTTGTGGCCATAACTTGAGTACCACCTGCTCTTCAGTAAGTGTAATAAAATTATTTTTTAAACAAATAGACCCGGGATCTCGGTTGTAGCTCTGAAGGAGAGGCTTTTGAGCACTTTATAAGGCCTTGATGAGGCCACACTTGGAATACGGCATCCAGTTTTGGTCACCACGATGTACAAAAAGATGTGGAGACTCTAGAAAGAGTGCAGAGAAGAGCAACAAAGAGGATTAGGAGACTGGTTAAAATATATAAGGAATGGTTGCAGGAACTGGGTATTTCTAGTTTAATGAAAAGAAGGACCAGGGGAGACATGATAGCAGCCTTCCAATATCTCAGGGGTTGCCACAAAGAAGACGGAGTCAAACTATTCCCCAAAGCATCTGAAGGCAGGACAAGAAGCAATGGGTGGAAACTAATCAAGGAGAGAAGCAACCTAGAGCTGAAATGTCTTGACATTTAGAACAATTAACCAGTGGAAAAACCTGCCTCCAGAAGTTGTGAATGCTCCATCGCTGGAAGTTTTTAAGAAGAGATTAGATAACCATGTATCTGAAGCGGTGTAAGGTCTCCTGCCTAAGCAGGGGGATGGACTAGAAGACCTCCAAGGTCCCTTCTAACTCTGTTATTCTGGAGGAAGTTAACACCCAGCACCCTCTCCTAGAAGAATGAAATATCCTGGGAAATATTGAAAAGGCAGAACATTATATTTCCCTGGATAAGAAATGGAGAAACATGTTTTTTAGGCAGGGAAACAGGCTCGCTCTGAATAGCCCCCACTTTTGTCGATGGCAATTTTAAAAAAGCCTGGGTCGGTCTACTCTACATAACAAAGTTCTCCCCCCTTCAGATCCAGGGTGATGGGATTAAGGCATGAAAGTATTCCCCTCTTTTTCCTTTCACCCAACATCTGGATCCCCCTTTTCTGTTCAGGAGCTGAAGCCCCGTGATGCTGCCCACCATTAAAACCATCTTCCCCAGCAGCCTCCACGTTTCCAGTGTCTTTTCCCCCACTTGGAGCTGAACCCAGAAGGACATTTTTTCCCATCAACTCTCTTCCACTGAGTTGCCTTATGTGAAACCGCTTGCTCCGTCTTCTATTGGGAGGATACAAACAACCGCACCAGAATACAGATGTTGTTTACCTTGGGCGACCTAATTTAGCAATCCTGCTTCTTGGAAGGCGAGGGGGGGGGGGGTTTCTTTTGCAATTTTTCAGCCTTCCCTTCTCGGGCCAAAGCCAGCGCCTCTCACGCCTGCTGCTCTGTCCAGCTCAGCTGATCAAGGATACTTATGCAATCCCGTTGCCCAGCTGGCGATGCGCCAGGATAGCTCTGGCCATTGAAATAA